GGACAGAGGACACACGGGGATGGCAGCACATGGGGGACAGAAGCAAACAGGACACATCTAGTACTGGTGATGGCAGCACACAGGGGGACGACACAGGGCACCAGGGGTGGCAAGAACAGGGGACACAGATGGCACCAGGGACGGCAGCACACAGGGGCCACGTGGCACTGTTATCAATTAGTATGTGTAATATGATTGAAAGAACCAGGGAGCTGCTAAAGTCATGTGTACAGCCTGCATCAGTTAATATTTAAACTAGGGAAACAATAACTAGACATGATTTGGGGTTTAGGAACTATTAGAGACAATGGCACTTTTATGTTCATGTCAGAAAGGGTAATGGAGTGTGGTCTGGTCAATAAACCTTGAAGAAACACTTGGAACTGCCTGGATTAGGAAAGAAGTAGGTAAAAGGTAGTTCTTACAGGGGGATATCGGACCACCGACTCATTGACCCCCTACGTAAATGATACTACCTACTCAAAAGCAGACAATGAAGAAGACAGAGTCTGCACACTAATTTACATGAGTGGCAAAGAACAACCAATCATTGAGGAAAATAACAATGAATATGTACTAGTTAAGTGTATAAATATGAGAATTTTTGAGACAAGGGTGTGCTGCCTTGAGACAGGCACCTGTTCACACACATCAATGAAATTAATTTGAAAATACCTCAACCCTGTGTGTTATTGGCTTGCACACCGGGTAAAGGAACCCCATTTGTGGGACAAGAGCACCAGGGACGGCAGCACAAAGGGGACACAGGGCACAGGGACAACAGCATACAGGGGACACAGAGGGATGGCAGCACACAGGGGGGACAGGGCACAGGACACCAGGGATGGCAGCATACAGGGCACAGTAGCACTCATATGGGACACGGCACAGCCAGCACCAGGCACACATGGCCACGGCTGTGACAGCACCCAGAACACCAGGGACTCTGGGGATGACAACGCATGGGACACTGGATACCCAGGACACCGGACACACAGGACACGTAGCATCCCCAGTACCAGGCACATGGCACACTGGGCACCTGTGGCAGCAGGCACATGGGATGTTGGTGGCTTAATGGACACATGGCACAGGGGGAACAGCACACAGGAGGACACCGAGACACAGACCAGAGAAAGGCAAGGGGTACACAGGACACCAGGTACATGGTGTACGGGGCATGGGCACGGGTGGTACAAGGGACACACCAACATCGGGGCAAGGGACAGCGTGCACAGCAGGAACCACGTGCAGCAACCCCAAAGGGGACACTGGGCACAGGGCAGCCAGGCCCCAGACATACCTGCACCAGGCACTGCACATGCAGGGCACCACTTAACACCAGGTTCCCCGGGCACCTGCACATCATGCACAGGGCACCACGCGCAGCCACGAAAGCTGGTGCTGGAGTCATCGTCATTCAGCTGTTGCGTACTGCCCAGGCTGGGCGCTGCTGCGGCTTCGTCCAGTGCTTGCAGCACAACCCCAGGGCGCTTCCCGTTCGCTCGGTGTTGGCCCTGTGTGACTTGAGCCCAGAGCTCGGGCTCTGGCACCACAACAGACCACATGTGCCTACGGTTAGAAACACCACCTCCCCTTTCCACAGGCCACACTCAGGAGAGCCCTGGCTCCTAACAAACAAAATGATCAGCTGAAGTGACCTGTGCAGGATATCAGGAGCAGCAAGGGGAAAAGAGAGAAGAAATTCAGCCCCAAACCAGCAATTTCTGGATGCTTCCCAGTGATTCATCCTGTTGTTTGGTTGTTGTTTTTTTTTTGTAGAGACTGACTGGGGTCTCTACCTTGGGAAAGGTGACTGCAAACACCCTTAGCACAGGCTATCTGGACAGGATGCCACCCAGACCTTCAATTTCAACCCAGAAATGCAGGTCACCCATGTCAAGGCCTTTCCTTTTATGAAGGGAACAAGGAAGGGAAATATCGCAAAGTCTCCCAACAAATCACTTCGGAGAAGTTGCACTTGGCAGAGAAAAACATCATCCAATCTGCACTCTCAGTCTTGATCTTTATTAGTTAACAGTTTCAGAAGGGATACAGTTTTGCTTCTAGATCTTGTTGAAAGCAGCAATGTCAACGCTCTGCACCTGAAAGAGAACAAAAGCAGCAGCTAAAGGTCACCAAGGTGTTTTCAGACATACTCACCATGAAGAAAGCACTCACATCGGGGATTTCTTAACAGCATGCACTAGCGATACTCAAACAGATCAAGCATGGCCCAGGTCTCTTAGGCCAGCTCCCCGGCTGTGGTAAGTTGACCTTTAAGGATGTATTTAACATTCCTCACAACAGGACATTGTGCTGTGCTAGTTACGGCACAAATCTTTAGACAGTCCAGCCTACGAAGAACATGATACTAAGAGTTTCTAGCAACATTAAAGTTCCTGATTTACCCTAAATATAAGCAAAAGAGTAGGCAAAGAAGAACAACAAAAGGTGGTTATCTGGCCTGCTGCTCTCCCAACAGCGAGACTGGGACCATTACTGAGCCTGCATATCACCTGGCACAGGGCTGGAGCTCCTGCTACCATTTCCATGGAAGGAGGAAGGATGGGAATGGAGACATCTCCTCCAGCCCCAGCCACCAAGGTGAAACACTGCGTGTCTGCTCTGGTGCTGCCCAGAGCAGTGTAAAAGCAGAGGTTCCCCAAAGTAACAGTCAGTGGGAGCTGGATGAGCAGCAAGAGCCTGCAAAATGGCTCTAAAAATGTCTGCAATGTATCTGCATCAACCAGCCTTAAAAAAAAAAAAAAAATTTAAATATTCAAGTGTCTCAGCAGGCAAACACCATCAATTCCATGTGGTTTTCTTTTAAAAATCCAAGTTTGCCAAAATCTGCAAATGAACATTAGTTACAAATGACCCTGCAGGTCAGGCACCACCCAGCATTACACAGTTTGCCGCAAGACTTACGTAGTCTTCAAACTTGGTGATCTCCTCCTCCAGGATGTCTGTCCCAACTTTGTCATCTTCCACTACACACTGGATTTGGAGCTTCTTAATGCCATAGCCTACTGGGACCAGCTTGGAGGCTCCCCACACCAACCCATCCATGTGGATGGACCGGACGCACTCCTCCATCTTTGCCATGTCAGTCTCATCATCCCACTGCAAAAGCATGAAGTATGAACTTTGAGTGTTTTTCTAGAGATCACCATTAGCCCCAAGAGGTACCCAGTGACTTAAAATTCAACGCTACTCCTTCTCAGCACATTTCAGCTGATCCAAGGCTGCCCTTTCTTGGCTACTATTCTCATCAGAATTAGCTGATGGGTCAGCCAAGCTAAATCTAACTTTGCAGCAATGCCGCACAGCATGCTGTTTTGATTCTACCTATAGGCACTGCACATACAAGGGGGATTCTTCCTGCAGCAACACAACTACTTTAGAGTGCTCATTTTAAAGTGATTGTTACCAAGGGCATCTCTCTGAGCACTAACCAGCCCAGAGTTTTTGTTCTACCATGACAATTTGACAAAGACAGGTTTATTCCCATCTTTAGGACATTTATTATCTGTCCTTTCTTCAAAGAAAAGGGCTAGTCCTGGTCAGGGGAACCTCAGATTACAGCCTGCACTTGCCACGGTGCAAGGAGCAGGGCAAAGGCTACAGATCCCAGCTGCAATATCCCACCTCGCTCCAACCCCTTGTTTGGAAATCTGCAGGTCCTATCTTCACCAGTCCACCCAGATGTGCAAGTGAGATGATTTACAGCCTCCTGCAGCACAAGACATACAGCCTCAGTCAGGAGCTCCCCCACTTCAGTTACTCACTGGCTTCACATCCAGAAGGATAGAAGACTTGGCAATAAGACCCGGTTTCTTGGCCTTCTTCTCTGCGTACTGACGCAGTCTCTCCTCCCGGACTTTGGCAGCCTCTTGGTCTTCCTCTTCATCGTCACTACCAAAAAGGTCAATGTCATCATCATCATCTTCTTCTGCAGCAGCTGGCTCGACTTTCTTTGCTGGTGAAGCAGATGGGAGCTCCACTTTCTTGGAGGGAACACTGAATGGTTCAACTTTCTTCATTGGGGTGACAGGCATTCAAGTTTGCATAAAGGAAAAGGGGGAGAAGATTAACCTGAAGTTGAATCAGAGCAGCACTCAAGAGAAGCTCAGGAACAAAAGTCCACATTGCTCACAACAGTGAACATGGCTCACACCATGTGATTTGTCTGACGAATCAGCTATTGGCCATCAAAATAGGACATTTGACCAGGTGGACCTTTGAACTGGCCCAGCATGGCCATACTTGATTCCTAGAGCAAAAAACACCATGTACCCAAGAGCTGATCCTTCTCCTAAGGACTCAGGATATCTATACCATAAGAGTCTGAGTGGGACAGCAGTTGGGAATGCAACCAAGCGTCTTCCCCTAGCATGAAGAGGGGCCTATGCATTCTGTAGGCTTACTGCAGAGACCACCAGCACCACCGGTAACACATCTTCCAAGCTATGACAAGAATCAATCAAATCGGTGTCATGCGTTCAGCTCCCACAGAGCTTTCTCTTAAATTAAATTGAATACATTCTTATACGGGACATTTGTTAAAAAAAGGGTCACCAATTCTGCTTATCTATTGTAACGAAGTGGCATTTTATTTGATATGTGCTAAGAAACTCACAGCACCATGGGCTAAATGCTAATCAAGTACATATTAACTCCAACTTGCATAGATCTCCACCACTTCTCCCTAGCTGAAATCTCTAGCGTAGCTTCTTTGCTGGTCTTAGGGCAGAACACTCCTCTCTACATGTACTATCCGGGAAAGATGATGAGGCAGCTGCCAAAACTGCTGGAAAAGCTGCAAACTCATCTTAACTATGAGCATTTCTCCATCCTCAGTAGACAGCCAGGAGACCTCCGAAGTAGCTTGGCACTTTGTGACTGTGAAGCATTCAAGAACAGCACTTTGTCAAGGCTCACCTGGGTTGGAGGAACTGGTGAGGGCTGGTGGGAGGTAGATGACTTTTCCAGAGCATTCAGGCGGCTTTCCAACTTGAAGATGGCCATCTGAAGGTCTGCAACAACTGCGAGGAGAGGAGGGGAGGGGGAAAGAACCTTATCTTGTAGGCCCTGCATCAGCTCTCAAGTCAGGAGAAATTTGCTTCTGCTCAAAGTGAGCTTTAAAACCACCAGTTGCCCCAGCCAGAGGGAAGCCTGCAAAGCTCTGATCAAGACACTGGCATGTGCTCACCTGGCGACAGACAAAGTCTGTAAGGGATACACCCCACAGAAGCAGGACCCCATCCAGTTTTGCTTTCATGCCACAAGATTCTCCTACTTACCACTGCGAAGGTTTTGATTTTCTACCTCCAGGTGAGAAATTCTGGAAAGGAGTTCATTTTGGTCACCAGCAGGCCCAGAAGAGGTTGTGCTTGCACTCTGCAACAAGGAAAACTAAGATGAATCAAATCTGTCAACCTAGTCCCAAACTCAGTGGTTCAGTGAAGCAAAGCAGAGTCATGCCTTCAGGGAAGAAGAAAATTTGAGAGCTAATCTAAGAACAAGGACATTTTCTCTAAAGGCTTTATAAAAAGAATATACTAGCCTTATAGAATGAAGCATGGAACATGTCTGAAGAAATTTCAGTGGGCACTGATGACCAAAGGATAAAGTAATTCTTTGCAGTCTCAGATCACAGACTGCCACTAAACACACAAAAAGTTTTGAAAGTTTCACACTAAACCCCTTAAATGGGGCAGCTGGTCTCGTCTTACAGACAAAATTGAGGCACAGAGCACAGAAGTGACTCGCCTAACGTCACACAGCAAGTCACTGTGAAAGCTGGAAAGAGATCCCGGCATTTCTATACTCCCACCTTCCCCAGCCCAGCCTTTAATTCCTCTCAAAACAACTTAAACCTACTTTAACACATCCTGAGGGAGCAATTATACTGATCCAGCTTCAAAAGTATTTAACAGCAAAAAAAAAGAGCTTTCATTATTTTTAAGGAGGCCCTTATCTATAAATTCAAATCAGCAAAGGGAAAGAAAAGTAACAGGCCTTCGTGCTTTGCTTTGTGTCATTTATAATTGAATACAACAATAGAGGAAGTAATTTATACTCTCTAAAGTGCACCCTGCATATAATTATAACATGGTTCTTGGCTGCAGTTGACATGAGTCTGAGGTCTCAGCAGTCACTTAAAATGAAGAGCGGGGAATACGGGGGTTAAGATGAACAGAGAGGAATATGGGGCACATAGAAAGCAGGTCTCAGGATGCCCAGCCCTGGGAGACACATGGAACTGTGTGAGCTGCTCCTAGCAGGAAGGTCAAAGAGACCCTTCTCCGCCCACCCAAAAAGGGCCAGGGACCAGAGGTCAAAAGCACCATGAACTCAATCTCCGACGCAGTCTTTGCGGTAGACGCAGGCTCAGGAACGCGAGTGAAGATCTGCAGTCCCCCGACACCAAGCTGGGAGACCTAAATGCCCTGGTAGAAGATCCTATGACATAGGGTGAGCTACAAGCACGTGCCAAAGGACAAATGCTTCTCATCATAAGGAAGGAGAACTTAGTCCATCTCTCCGAGGCAGGGCCATCCTTGCCCTACAACGTCCTCTCAAATCACACAACCAGATCCATCCGTGCGCAGGTGACTTACAGTTGAGCGGCCTGACTGCCTCTTGTGACGGGCAGAAGGAGCTTCTTTACTACGAACTGTCTTCTGCTGCAAAGGGCAAAAGGTTTGGGGGACGTTTGGTTCAAAATGGAAGATGGAAAAGGATTTCACTCATGCTGGAAGAGGCATTTCAAGTGCAGGAAGCAGATCCACATGCAGGACAAATCGTCAAGCAACGAGATACAGCCTCACACCAACTACACACTGAACAAAGCCTGCACAGAAACATTTATCCATGAACTCTGCCATCTTCTTGTTAAACATCTCAGTGCCAGCAGAAAGGTCACGCAGCTGGGTAGCAGAACTAGACTGAGATGTCTAGAGCATGGTCTCAGTCATCTTCCCATCTGTAAAATCAGAGGTGAAGCATGTGCATGCATTACTATGGCACACACCACAGTCTCAGCTGGTTCTCCTGTCATTAGACAAAACCTAATACCTGACAGATGCAGAAACGCACGTGAAGTTACCAAGACTCTTAGTAAGTCCGCAATTACCACTAATGCATCTCTCCTAGAGAGGAGTAAAGCAACACAACACCCATCTGAACTAACAACTTGATGAGACCCCTGCATGGGCTTCCATCCTCACATGCACCACCAAGAACAGAGGCTGCTAGCCACAATGGGCTAATCACACCAGGCTAGCCCTTAGCCTTATGCACCAAGGACAAAAATTAAAGCTCCGATGAACTCGTTGCCTGACCTCCTCCTGTTCTAGTTACATCATCAGGGCCAAGGTCTAAGTTAACTCAGTGAAAAAGTGAATTCTGGCAATAGTCACATCCATCCCTGCTCCTTGAAAAAGCACTTCTTGCTTTGACTCCAGATCAAACACAGGAGCTGCGTCACCTGCAAAGACATGCACAGCTGGGGTTTTTTTTCCAAAAGCAGCCTGCTGATTCAGCTAAGCAGCAAGCACCACAGGTATTTGGCAGTTTGAAGCCCTAGTCACATTTTCAAGCCAAATGCTGAAGTGTTTCAGCAGGCTCTGCGTTTGCCCTAACAAGTGGCTATCCTGCGCACGACCACGGACATTCAAGACACTGCAAGATGTTTATGCCTATTCGGTGCTGCAGAACAGCCTGCTTTTAAACTCTGACTCTCAGGTTTAGTGGAAGCATTTGCCACAGAAGCCAGCTGTGCCTCCACATTTCTCCTCCCTGTTAGTAACAACCCCTCAAAGATGAGAAATCTAAATTGAGGCAGTACCATCTACCTCCACGCTCGCCAGCTGCCATCCTGGACTCACACACAGAATAGGTCAGCACTACTCCTCCCTGTAGTCCCACACGAAAAACATCTACAGCTTGGCAGGAGGCCTCCAGCTCAAGAAGAACCTGCCAGCCTTGTGTGGTTGTGTCATTTAGGGGAAGAGTTTGAGAAAATCACGGTCATTTTCCCCAAAAAGGCTGTAGCTATGGCTTGCAAGAGCAAGGTGAGAGGACTTTGAAATACTCTGCTCTGCATGAAGCTGTTCTCAACATGGAAGAGCATGGAAAAATGACATTTTGTTATTTCAACAGACCTTTTGAGTAGTAGAAAATACCAGGATACAAATCTAGCTGTATATTGCTGTCAAGTGCTGTTTGTAAAGCTTTGTGTAGTACCCAGGGAATTGCACAGAGCAAGACAGAGCTCTACAATGCACAAATTCCTTCCCTTTGCACCCTTCCTTTGCTAGCTTATATTGAGCCTGCAGGTGAGATGACATTAAGGTTGCAAATACAGATAATGAAGCCCAGAGGAGAGTCAGCATCCTCAGTGAGGCATTCAAGTATGCGCCTGCCCATCAGTATGCTGTAATACAGGTAGCACAGGCGCTCAAGGAGCTGCAGCACAGATATCTGGGTGACTCCGTAGAGAGTCATCTCACCTCCAGGATTTCTCAGCTGCAAGTTGCTAATGAGGTCTCTGCAGAAATGGCAAGATTAATTAACAACCTGGATGCATCTACAGGTTAAACACCCACAAAATTCATGTGCATAGTTCAGCATTGTGCACCTGGCCAAACAGATTCAGCATATTACATGTGCTAAACTAATCCTAAACCCAGATTCACTTGCTCCTCCATGCTGTATTTTTCACACCTGTTTAAAAGGAAGGTTTACGACAAGGCAGGGGTTCACAGTGCTCAGACATGGCACATAGCATTTAAATCAACACCCTGTGCAATTCAGACATTACTTGTTAGTCCTGGGCAACCCCAGGGCAGGGTGAGCCTGAGCACAGCCATCTCTTGCTGGCAAGAAGAGAGGGGTTGCCTGCCCCAAGCTCAAGCAAACAAGAGATTAAAGGTCTTCACAAACCGGGCCAGCCATCCTTTGGGAACCTGTAACCTGTGTAAAGCACAGTATAAGAGGCACAACGCTGAACCAAGTTCCCAATTCTGGCAGGTGGTCAAGCCACTCTTTCAAAAATTGTGGAAAAGTTGCCTTTATGAGACTGTGGGCTTTCCTCCAAGGTAAGGATTTTTCAAGCTTTTAGAGATGTGGTCACCAACCTAAGCTACACACTACCTACAGTGTGTTTTTTCCTCTGCACGGCCAAGCACCATTTCCTCTTCTGTCTCAACTATGCTAAGAGGAAGCTTGACACAGTGTTTGTGAATTTTATCAAGGACAGTAATTCAAAATTCCAAAGGTGGGGAGTTCCAGAGCATCAGTTTAGTCACTTCCTGCACATTGTCTCACAGATGGAGCTCTTAAAACCTTTGTTTTTTCTAAGCTTAAGCCACAGTTTTTGTGCTGAACCCACATTAGTGATACACTGACCTGTGCTGCAACCTATTCAAAGTATTTTGCATAGCAGAAGCACTCAGCAAGCCTGGAACCATACCAAGGACTGCATATAAAGTTAATCATCTAAGCAAATTAAACCCCTGGGACTTCTTGCTTATGAAGGGTAGAAAATAGAATCTAGCCTCAGCCCCAAAGCGCTTTCAACATCTGGCCCTCTCTATAGTTTGACTCTCTAAAACATACCTTAAAAAAAAAAAATCAGAGACAAGAACACTGACTAATGAAGAAAAAGTTGGCCAATGTTACGTTTTTACATATCAGCTGAAAGAAATCTGTCTGGAAAACTACAGCTAAGAACTCTTCCCTTGGTATATCAGGCCTAACTAACAGACACAGCTGGAAAGCTGGCACTTCCCTTACTACAGGAAGTATCTGGAGTTATCAACCATTTTCCCTTAGAGTTAACCAGTTACAAAGAACAGCACACAGATTTTACAAGCGCTGTTACAGATCTGATGTGTAGGTTTTCCAGTCTAGAGCTCACAAAGCACTCATAGCTTCATCCTAAAAATAAACTTATTTCACACATGCAGAGACACAACACTCTTCCCTTCAGGTCGGTCTACCTGAGCTCTGGGAACATGGAAAGTTTAGCCACGGTCAGATACACAAAACTGAACTGTGGGGAAATGATGCTGAAGAACTAGAAGAGGCTTTCCACTGCCTAAGACCAGCAGGATGGATCCTGGCTGGTTTCCTACAGAAGGTGTGACCGTTCCCTGAATACAGATGTGTTTCTGAATGTGGCCTCCAAACACTTTAGCAAGATCAGAGGTTTTCTGGGAGCTTTTCTTCTTTGAAACCCACACGCAGGAAACGCACAAATACAGAGGCTTTGTAAGAGGGAGCTTGGGTAGAGAAGGGAATAACAGAGCTTCAGACTCCCACACCAGCCGCCTACCCAACAACATCCCTTTCGTTACAGCCCCCAGGGAGAGTGTAGGAAGTGAGAGTTCAATCACCCACTCTGTTGGACTTGCTTATCATCTCAGGCAAGTCAATCATTTCCACGTCTCAGGTCCCCAGCTGTAAGATCTCTCACCACCTGTGGTCTCAATGCCACCAGCTGCAGTACTGCACATGTTAACAACTTTACATCTAGGAAAGCATTAGCGATCAGGCAGATGTCAACTGGAGAGATTGTTTAAAGCAGAGATGACCATGCAAAGCGGGATGAAAGGTATGTGCAAACAAATGTTTCCAGCATCAGAGCTTTGTACCCTCCTTTGGGAGGTACAAACCACTGCCTCTACCCTTCCAATGCTCATTCACACATTTCAGAACACCACTATCCAGCTGAAGCAGATCTGAAATCAGCCTTGGCTGAATTTCACAGCAGAAGAGAGACACTGATCTTCCATCTTCCCATCTTATAAGAGCCAACTCTTCACTTGCTCCCCCTTTAGACTCCTGACAATAATAACTCTGCATGTTCAGGTGAAAGACTAAATCCTGACTGTAAAAACATGCTTCACTATTATTCTGTAGATCAGACAGTACAAATTTGGCTTTCTGAAACATAAAAACAAAGTTTAAGCATGTTCTAAAGTCAAGCCTGCTTTATGCCATGGCTGCCCAAGACTAATGATGATCCTTCAGAAATGAAGCTACAAAAGCTGATGTTTCAGACTTGTTTCTCAGCAGCTCAAGTCTTTCTAACCCACACACGAATGCAGAAGATCTGACCATGGCTCACCACGTCAGGTTCCAGGGCAGAGATGCAGCAATGTGTGGAAAAACTGGAAAGGTGAGCTCTCTGGGATATCATACAAGCCGGACTAAGGCACGATCAGTTAAACGGGATTACAAAACAGAAAGGAGGAGGAGGTCACTGTTGCCATGTGCTCTGCTTGTCCAAGCCACTGCCTATTTTGGGAGCAAAGTGGCAGCTCTAGGTTAGATAAATTATGGAGTGCCCCTGACCGCAACGCAGATTAGGGTGCACAATGCTCCCCCTAACAGAGTCATGCAGTAACACAATGCTTTTCCTTGAAGCCTTCAATGGAGAGTCCCAATCCACTTTTTGTGATGCCCCAGATTCCAGTTTTAAGGCCCTATGGCTAAGTCCTGACCTTAAATCCTCAAGCCCGCCAAGCTTTCTTCACGGCAAGAAAAAAAAAATAATCCAGCAGATGAATTGTATTCAGCACTAACCCCAACAAGTGCCACAGGGGTGCAAAGGACTTCATATTCTCAAATTTCTGTTCTGGCTTTCGTCTGGTGCTTTGCCAGTTCTCCCAATCTTCCCCATGACAGGACCTGGACAATCCAAACTTACATGCTTCTCACACAAAAAAGCTAACAGGAGTCACAGGCCAGGGCAAGAAACTCCTCATCTTTAGCAAACGACAGACAATTCTGCAAAATGAGAATATGCCTTCAGGGCAAACCAGCAGCACTGCCAGGTGATTTTTATTTAGGTTTCCTGTCCCTACTCACCACATCCAGCCTCTGATCCTGAAGGAGGCAGGTCTTGGAGGAAGCAGCTGATGCTAGACCTTGCCCAGTTTGAAAGGGTCTTTCCAAGGGCATTTAACACTGTGCAAAAGGTTCTCCAACCCTGTCTGGGATGGGGGCTCATTTCCCTGCATATTTGCCTTACTGAAGTCCAAACTAAAAGTCTTTGACAGGGGCTGATAGTCTCTACTGAAAGCCCAAACACATTATTTCAGATCAGAACTTAAATGAGCCAGTTCAGGGAAATATTCTCTATGCTGTTGGCTGAAATAACTAGCATTAGAAAACTTCCAAGTATTTTCTTACTCAACATGTTTTGGTTTGTTTTTAATATTACTAAGATGTTCCAACTTTCCATTGATTCCCATGCTGTATTCAGGGCTACTGAATCTAACCAAAGCAAATTTAATCCTTTCCCACCATTCTTTTGTCAAATTTGCCCCATTCTTCCTGCATCCACTTCCACATTTCCAGTGCAGTACTGAGCATCTTGGATCACTCACATGAGCAGCTGGTGGCAGAAGCTGCTTTTGTACCGTCGAGTTCAACAGGCACAGTGAGACCACCACGGGGAAAGCAATTAGCCTAACTTCTTCACATTCACCCTACATGTATGGCTCCTTTCTGCTTATGTTAAGGAGGAATATGAAATATTCCCCTTGAGAAAGGCTCGATTCCCTGTTATTGTACTGATCTAGCTAGAAACTGAGGTTGTCAAATACCCCAAGAGGGAGTTATGAGGCCAAATCAATATAGATAAAGGATGGATACCCTCAGATGGAAGATATGTGCAGGTGTGTAGCAGTCCCACTCCAGAGGTAAGAAATCAAGGGTGTATTTTGTGAAGTTTCTTCACCCATGAAACCAGTCTGCTCATTGATTTAAGATCTCAGCTTCCTCTTCAAAAGTTAAAGAGTTTTAACAGTGCTGTCTGTACATATCAGCACAAAAACACCTCCAGAAAGGATGTTACTGATCTTCTACAGGATGGTCCAGACATAGAGCTAGTAGCCAAGCTGAATTCCCTAGGTGCAGCAGATGGAAGATAGCATTTTTTTGCACATACCCTAACTGAAAGCAAAACAGGAAAGAGAAGGTGGCAGCTCAGCGTACCCCAAGAGAGACATACATACTCCCGCTGGCAGCTCAGTGCTTTGCTATCCAGCAAGGTTATTTTAACAGTGACTCCTAACTTGTTAGATAAGACTTGTTGGAACATTCCACCAGGAGAAAAAAGAAATGCACAGCTGAAGAATTTTAATGCAAATCCAGTTAGTTTTAAAAAGCACTGCAGGCTAGCAAGCAGGTAAGCAGCATGCACTCTAGTAGTAATGGTGCTCTTGATTGGATGGAGCTATGCTGGTAGTACACAGCGCTGCACACCTTAGTCTTCTCCTCTAACTTAAAAATAAGAAGCCACACAATCTATGAAGTGGTCACAACGGAGTTCTGTGAGATGCACCACAGCTAAAAATGGTTGCGGGTAGCCAGCTGGTGAGAGAGCTTGGGTACTCACTCCGGCCAGCGATTTCTGGATATTCTCCCTGGCTCTGGCAATGTCGCGTAGGATCGTGCTGGCTCCGTTCTCCTGCAAACAGTGCAGAAAGAACCAAGATTTTTTTAAAAAAAAAATATGAAACATTGGAAACTGGTCAGGGAAGTTAAAAAAAAAAAAGGGGGGGGTGATAGTCAGGGAGGGTTCCTTCCAATGATTCAGCAAGTATTGCAAAATTAGCTGCAAGAAGGATTGGTTCTAAATCAAGCAGCACCGACTGCAATCCCTGGTCACATCAGGCCACGTGTCCAGAAGATCATCCAGTCAAGAGCTTTTAAATTCTCTATTGTTACCCTGAACGGTTTGGACAGCTGCCAGACAGGCAGAGGCTTGGAGTCGCTTCAGTACTCCTTAGAGATCTACCGTTAGGCAGCCCTTTATTTGTAGTATTACCTGTCATTGTATTCAGGCAAGAAGTGACAGCCCTAACTGAAGTCTTCTATCCAGAGAGGTATGACCCAGAGTATGGCAGTAAAAGTGGTTTTTTTCCCCCATGCTCCTGCTGCCATGCCTTAGCCTGGATTTGAAGATCCCCTTCGCAGGGCACAAATTCAGTTTCCATGATCCACTCACTCCTTGCCTCTTCCAGACTGCAACCCCCTCCAAGGAAGATCTGAGACATGAAACCACCCACAAGACCAAAACCCCATGTCAAACAGACCATAGAAGAGCAATAGCCTGGACACATTCAGATGGATACCACTTCCAGGTTGCAGGAAGGTTTTAAGGAGCATGGATCGTTTTCCTCAGCAGAGAAGTGGTTGATAAACTGTTGCAGAATCTCCCCCAGAGCCTTCCCACCACCTCTCAAAGGCAGAACTTCTTCACTGGAAGCTCCTTACGTGGGATGAAATAGTCTAACTGTTCTTCTAAGAGCACTGCAGAGGTTCGCACTTTAACATCTACTTCAAGCGCTTATCTATAGCTTCTAATTTTTATGCAGGTGTTCTAGGTGCTGTGCCACCTCTACACTAGCATGGGCAGCGGAAGTAGACAGTGTGCCTAGAAGCTATTCCTTAAGCAAAAAGCTTCCCCTTAAACACTTGCAAGACAGCCATTTAGAACTGTAAGCAGCTTTCTACATAATCAACCAAATGCATAAGCAGTTAACAGCTCTTTACATAGCAGGAAGAGGTTACGATAGCTCTGTACCTTTAAACAGTAATAATTTCGGGCTAATATTTAAGCTTGAACTACTTCAGCTCAGCTGTGCTGCAGCAGTACAATGCTTCCCCCAACTCACCAGTACTGTGATGCAGTCTTCTGTAGGAGCACACTGAATATTTCAGGGGGTACAAAGAAAGGAACATAATTCTGTGGTTTTTGCAGCCATGGTGCCTATCTTCAAACATCATGCCTTATATACCCATTATATCCCTTGCCAAGGAAAGCTTAGTTGCTACAAAATGGCAGCAAAACCGCCTTTTCCCTTGCTGAAGGGGACAGGTCAATTCTTTGCCCAGCATACCGCCCAGCCCAGTCAACAGAACCACAGCTCTCGGGGCTTACAGCTCAAGCTGTGCACCCATCAAATCACAGCTAGCACCCGTGCCCTGCCATAGCAGCCTGAAAAGATTAAGAGTAGCTGCTGCAACCTATAACTGGTCCGCCTGTTGTTGCAAGGGCATCTGATTTCCCGGTACACTGGGAGAAATTCTTCACAGGCCACAGAAGATGGTCTTTCAAAAGACAAAAGGGGTTATAACCAGGGGGAGGCTTAGAGAGCTCCAGAGAAGACTGTCACACTTGGAAAAAGCAGCATCAAGAGCGGAAATAATACAAAAGTGCACATCCAGGTGGATCGTGTCCTTTTGCCTGCTCTGTACTAGCTCTTAAAGCTCCAGCACTCTGTTAAACCCCATCAGAGAACAAGGATTACCTACCTGCTGGTGTGAAGAGCTGCTAACTGGCCCGTTCATCTGCTCATAGTATCTTCTCTCAGCATCGTCATACTTGTATTTCTCAAACCAGATCTTCTCATGCAAAAAGTAGTCAACTGCCATTTTTCTGCAGAAAGGAAACAAAAAAAACCAAAATGAGTTCCTAAAAGTACTTAAGGTTAGCAGCTTGCAGTGAGCTTGTCAGAAGAGCGTTTTCTTCCCCCATAGAGCTGTGCCTGCAGGTCTCTGCTTGGCCATTTCCCCGCCAGTGGAAAGCTTTAAGTAAACAGGATCCTATTAAGAAAGCAGGGCAGTCTAATCACCCACCTGTCTGCCTGGCCTGACCTGCATTTAGTGACAGAACACCAAGTGGGGACAGAATAAATCAGCTGATCTGTACCTTTTTCCACAAAACAGCTTTCAGAGCAGGATTTTCTAGATCATGGTAGACACATGGGAATCTGCTGCTAAGAAAGAAGTCTTGTGTATGAAAATCAGAAAGGGAATAATGCTTTTAATTCTTAGGATGCCTGGCCACGGTGAAACCAAAAAGACCGAAGAACACGGAGCTTCAAGCAGCATGTGCCACACTACAGCGTGCCAATGAGGGAGCACTCTGTATGTGACAGGCAACTCCTGACACTACAGCTCACAAATTTAAAAGCATTTCAGTCTTCCTTGAACACAACTCAACTGTGTCGACAGCAACTGTTGGCTGTCTTAGGCCAGTACCTGTCTCTACCTGGTCACGACATGCTTCACTAGGTGCACCACCGAATCCCCCAGGTAAGGAACAGCACAGCACACCGCCTGACACCGACAGCGACCAGCCTCCAGGAATCCAGATACACACACAATTTACAACAGCACCACAGGTAACTGCACACATGCCCTTTTGGAAGCTGCTGCAACTGTTTAGAAATTAAAATCATCAGCAATGCAACACTTGCAAGGGACAGATGCTTGTCACTACACAGAGGAACAGCATAAAACATCCTAACACTGCTGCGAAATGGTGTTATTTTTCTTCAGTGCAGCAGCTTCCAAAGGTTAATTTCTTAACTTGAAGGCAAATGATGGAGCCCTTGCAACAGTAGAAGAGGCTGTGCCCTTATTTCAAACCAGAGGACAGCTACAGAGCCAACATCAGTTTGAGGAGGTGGTGAGAGCAGAGATAGAGCATCACAACAAAACCACACCATTACCAGGTTCCACCACACAACACAGAGAGAGCAAATAATAGCAACCCACAAACCCTTTCCTTATCAGCTCAAAACCCCGCAAGCTCTCCAGTAAAACACTTCCACGGAAGCCTTTTTTGTAAAACAAGCACCTTTCTCACCTACACATTCAGAAGAGACCAGAGGCCACCATACCATACAGGTCCTCTACACCGAAGCCATTCCCAGCACTCAAATCGCCAAGACCCTGCTTGAGCTGCCGACCAGTATTATTAATAGAGAATCCCAGTTACAGAAAAACTTATGCCACATATTTTACAATGGCACATGGACTTTCCTGCGGAAAGGAGAAAGGCATGACCAAATATCTAGTTCTGTCCAACTAAAGAGAAAATTATCCCAACTAGAACAGGGTGAAAGGCATGTGTGCTCTAAAGCTTGTCTGTAACCCCCTATATCACTTGATGTAAGGATCTTAGAACCTTTACAACAAATCCTAACAAACTCAGAGCATCAGTCCTTACTTCTGATCCTTAAGAGGCTTTTTTCCAAGAGCATCAGTCTGTATCCTAGCACTGCAAAGTAACATCTAAGCACTGGCCTTCAGACAGGCTCCCAGGGCATTACAGCCGTCCGTGCAGCAGACTTCAGGGTTCAGCCAGCCACATGTAAAAGCATGTATTTAACACAGAAAGGACGGTATCATACTGCACCTCATTCAGGACTTTAAAAGGAAGTCTTTAAATGTTTCTGGCTGTAAGCTGTTTTATAACTGCATGTTAAACTATGAAGGTCATCTACGATTTGAGAACTAAATCTTCCTGCCCAGCTACATACATGCACATCAAACAAACTGCAATCCAGCTAGCCCTGTCCCAAAATTAACAGCAGCTTCCAGACTGAATAGTCTAACAACCTCCTTCCTCAACGAAACAAATACATCATGTGCTCCCACCAGACTGATGCCCTAAATTGTATTTCACTGTCATCCCCAAGCCTTCTTCAAGCTGGATACTGGTAGCGATGCTCAAATGTGGTCACCTCTCACATGGAGCTCAACGACTAGCCTACATGCTCTGCAGGAGAATTGGGGACAACTGCTTCTCTGAAGGAGCTTGTGGCATTTTAACAGAAATACACAGCAAATAGCCACCATTTTAACTTCGCAAATTCAAAGACAAAACACTGCATTTTCTGCCGCCTCAGAAGGCCTGTTTAAACCATGTGATTACTCTCTCCAACTTCTCACTTTTATGACTTTTTGTACGTAATAGGAATACAGAAAGGGGTATGGCCTCAGGTTCCCCCCACGTAAAGAGGGGGTCAAACCTTAACTCACTTACCAGCCCTGACTTTGAATGCTTAACCTCTGGCACCACACAAATACTACCTTTAGCCACGAGTATTCATCAGGAAAAGGGGGTTCCCTGAGTTTCCCCCAGTTCCCCTGCCCACAAACAGGCTCCCTGGCTCAGGAGCAGCATCTCCCTACAGTGGCATGCACGCTCGGTCCTGCAGACACAAAGGATGCCCGTCTTCTACACATGCAAATTCTTTCAGCTCAATCCTGACCCAGCAGTTTTGCATGTGTGAGTGTTACCCCAGAATAAACTTCTCCTACTTCGTTTCTGGCGCAGGTACGCTTGAAGCGTAAGCAGCTGGTTGGGAGGGTTTTACTACTGCAGATTCCTGCATCCCCGTACTCTCTCCTGTTCTCGACATTTTCAGAGCCTCGGCTGCATAGTATCGTGACTCAGCACTGTCATATGTCGGCTTATTAAGCCACACAGTTTCGCTGTCTTCATGCAGAAAAAAGCGGGTAGGTGGAGGTTGCTCAGCATTACTGGGAAGCAGAGAGTCGGTGGCGATCTCCACTTGTTTGACGCCTGTTTGCTTTCCAACACTGTGGTTCTTCCTGTCCTCGTGGTGGTTCTTCAATGCTTCGGGGCAGCCACGTTGCTGCTGCCTGACTTTGCCTGATGGATGACCATCAAACATGTTCTCGTAGAAGCTCTTCTCAGCATCATCATAGAGGGGTTTCTCTAACCACACCTCTGACATGAGAGCCTGCAAGCTTGAAATCTGCGGCTTACCATTTACTGTCTGGTGTACAGAGCCAGGCAAACTGGTAACGAAGGAAGCAGCAGAATCAGCAACGGTCTCTGGAGCTAAGCTTGGTGTAGCAGGAGTAGGCAGGGCTGTAGCATAGCCCTCATCCGGCGTTCTCAGCCCAACGTTGCCAGCGTTTGACCACGCAGATGGGATGGTTAGGACGTTTGGAGGAACAAAGAATTGGGATTTTTCAACAAACACCTCCTCAGCCTTATCAAAGTCAAACTTGTTGACCCAGACATCCTGAACAACATGGTGACACGCAGACAGACTACCATGGAAGCAGGGCAGGGCTGCTGAAAGCATCCTTGGCTTTGGAACATCTTGGACAGCTTTTGACCTGGCCACTAAAGGGAACTGCTCAGCAGTTACTGCAGCCTCAGGTGCCTCCTGGCTCTGACAATCCACTATTTTTTTCCTGTACACGTTCTCAGCGTGATCGTACAAAGGCTTGTCAAACCACACGTGGTCAGCTAACAAACCAGTCAGAATAGAGTCTAACTTGGAGGTCACATTTTTGGGTTTTGGAGAACGCTTCCGTTTCCTTTGTTTCTTTCCATTCCTTGCTCTCTTCAGGTCTCCCTTGAACTCACTTTCAACAGAGTCGTCATTGCAGACTCCATTTACAGCCTCTACCTCCTGGCACTCCTCCGGGGCCGCAGCAGCTAGCATCGCTTCTCTTTCATAATGCAGTCTCTCTGCTTCATCATATTTGTGCTTGTCTACCCACACTTTTTCTACTGGGCAGGGAGGCTTCCTTGTCCTCATCTTCCAAAGAGTGGCAGCATTAAAAGATAAGCATAACAATGTAGTTGCAGCAAAACTAAATAAAGCAAGGGCATGCATCAGATTTTAGTAATTTCTTAAGTAATACAAGAGTGTCACAAGCTATCATGCCATTATTATTCACGGCAAAGAGCCTAAGCATTTAGTTCAATTCTTCCTTTGTTACAAATTTTAATTCCAAGAAATTAAACTGCCTAAAAACGTCCGGTTTCTGATGTCAGAATAACCTTCCTCCTAAAACACTTCTGTTGTTCTGACAAGTATTCTGCACACTACTATTTAAAAATAAAGGCAATGGCTGAAAGCACTTCACTTTTGAAGACAACTGGCAGGAAAAAAACAACAAAGTTTTGTTCAAATCCCTGGTAATGTAGAAGATATTTTTCCAAGTTAGTAGATTAGCCCTTAATTACTTGTTAGGTATTCCCAACTAGGCAGAGATTTAGGAAGACAGGCTAAAAAAAAGATGTCCCAGTTCTTGAGTATCTTTACACTTACATGTGTTTTGCTACTAGAAAGCCAGCAGAGGGAGCTGACTGAAAAACTATGACTCAGTTTTGGTTTAAAATCCCAGCTGCTGGCAAATTAAAATTGATCAAGAGCTAGAGATCTCATGATTAATTTAACTTACCAAAAAAATCTTCTGTTGAAATGAAAAATATTGCATCTACTTTGTGTTTTCCTGCCCTAGTCATACTTTACTACAGGAAAAAAAATCAAGCAGCTCCTAGTATGTGTAGATTATTGGAAGTGGTATAGGAAATACCTTCCCAAGTACAGAATTTACTGTACTGCTCAAATATCTAATGAGTAGGTAACTACCTCTCTGCCAAACACTACATGGTCAGATCCCTAGAGTTAAAAAAAAAAGGTCCAAAATTAAGTACCTGTAAGCCAGCTCTCTCTCTAGCTACTGAGAGCTGCAAGTTTTATAGCTACAAATTTATCTGTGACAGGTTGCCAAATGAAAGTCACATACAGCTGAAATATCCTCCAGACTTCAGTCAATGGCTTGCAATTCCAACTGTTCCTGGAAGATTTTACAAGCCTCAAGTCCGGGGCTTGACAGACCAGTTAAACCAATAAACTATTATTACAAGTAAACACTTTTGCCTTTTTAAACTTTCAATTTGAATTTATATAGTTTAAAATATTAAAGCAATGTCATACTGTATTTCCATTATAAAAATTACCAGGAAAAGCAAAAGCAGATCTTGCTTTTTCTTACTGGAATTGTAAAACTGCTCCACCACCAGCTGCTGAAAACACTGTGATACAGCTAAAAAAGCATTTAAAAACCCCCTAAACTGAAACTTATTTTGAAGTCTTCATTTTACTTTATGCTCTTCTCTTGCATTTTACACCAGCTATGGAGCAATAAAACACTTCTTACTACAGACAGCTAGAAACAAACCAGTGCTTTGAATAAACATTAATCTACTTGTTACCATCAACATCAAAAACAGCCCAGCTGGAAACACACACATTGCAAGGTAGGAGCAATCCTACAAGCAAGCAGTAACTTGGGTTTGCTCCTCAGGATAAGCTGTTACTACAGCTTCCATGGCATTATCATCAAGCAGTGAAAAATGACATCACAGATGTCATGCAGACTGAAGCCATGCCAGTGCCGCTAAAGTGCCTGCACAAGTTATTTTGAGGTACAAGGATATGTTCCTGCAGTAAAGAAAAAAAAAAAAATCAAGGCAGCCTCATACTCCTGATCATTTCAGCTGCTGGACAAATAATTGTAGATTTTTTATATTCTTAAGTAGCAAAAGCATATCCCTTAAAAAAATCATCTTTACAGGAGATGTTGATTTAAATGGGATTCTTGGAGGGTAGCATCAAGAGGAGGCAACGTCTGCTAGAGCAATGCCTGGATTCCAGTCAATTGGCAGACTGGAAAAGGATGAAATGATGCAAAGTAAAAGTGTTGTGCACAAAGGCCCTGCTTTGCAGTGCACACGTTCTACAATAGCAGCCATCCGAATCTAGTGCAGTAACCTGCCAGCACAAAATCTGTGGGGAAAGCAAAATGCATAACTGAAACTGCATGGGTAGGACAATACGTTTGAATTTTTAGGTTACTTAGGTCTATAAGGACTCCTAAAGAGAACATCAGATTTCTGCATTTGCCCGATATGCTCTGCTTGGCTCTACATTCACATTCATTTGAGTTATCCCAAGGAAAAATCATAGTCTATAGCCTTCAAGGAGATCCTTTATTGAGAATAATTCATTAACCCAATGCAGATATTGTTATACTCAGAGGTTACAGCTTAAACTATTTCAGGAAGAATCTCTCATGGGTGTAACAAGAAACCCAAACGTGACTCAATACAGCTCAAACTGTCACACCTTTAAATATTTAATTTGCATTACAGTCATTAACATTTCATATAGAAAGGGCATGACCATTTGACAAAAAACAAAACTAAAATTTGGGGTTTGTTTGTTTTTTTAATTATAGGTGATTTTGCTCAAGTCCTTAAGCAAACAGCATCAAGCACTGGAGTTGCAGCCCCCAGGACGCTCATCTCAAGGGTGAGGTGCATTATTGAGGACTCTAATTATTAGGGAGTTCTCTCAAATCAAAGAACTGTCTTGAATCAAAGTGAGACACAGCTGAATTTAATAAAAGAGCCTATAAAGGTACACTTATTTCCAGTGGAAATCAGATAACTGTGCAATAATCTGTCCAGAAAGAAGTATCAGATCAGAGCCAAAAGTGCAAAAACCACACAACTAGAGAGTACTTACTTTTTTAGCTCCTATGATAGCATTAAGAGAAAAGATAAAGTTAGAGAAAGTTTCAAGTTCTAGAGATGCAGCAGCTAGTCAGCAAGGACAAAGAATGACAAAAGCCAAATGTATTATCATATAGTTAACTCTCCCCATACATAATACATTTAATTCAACTTACAGCTAGTTTACTCTCCAGAACTACATTATCTTCATGAACCAACCCCACAGACACTCAGTTACTTTTAATTTTAAATAACAACCCATAAAGATATACATATCCAAAAGGATCTACCCATCACGACAGGGAACCAGCCAGAGAGGCTCCCAACCTGCCACATCAACACTGTCAGGTGGTGTAAAAGTGAAGCTCAGGTCCCCCAGTTTCAGGTAACTAATCACCAATAGCAAATACTTTAAAGAATTCTGAAAATGTAACAATTATAATGTCAAATAATGAATTCAACATGATTGTAGTTATTTCTACCGAAGTTAGTGATCTGTACAATATTCTATGAACAAGATAGAAATAAAAAACTAGCACCAATGCTCAGCCTACTAATTTTTCAGGAAAAGCATCAATATGACATGTGAAAGCTTGCAGTAGAATTTAAGACTTACACAGATCTGTACCTATGAGGCTACACCTATGAAGCCTGATGAGACACAGCTTCTCATGTCACCAATTCCACATTACACATAAAAAGGTTATTTCTGCAAGGAAGTAACACAAACCCCAAAGCCAAAGTGACCACAACTGTTCCCCATCAAATCTGGCTCACAGGCATTCAAGTGTTGTTTTTACAAAGATTATTACCAGGGAAAATCTTCATAAAGGGAATTTACCACAACAAGTGGCAGTATCATTTTCCAAAAACAAGTCCAAGATACTTGCAGCACCTATTTGTTTCCATGAGGGGCCAAGCCTTAGGTTTAGTTACGCTAAAGACCAGATTTTCAATGAAGTAACATCTACAAACACAAGCAAAAATTGAAAAAAAAAAAGTCACTTCTCTGCTCATAAGTTTTCCTAGAGGAACCTGGGAAAAAGCATATACAAGGATTTTAATTACACAAACCATCGCCTGAGCTGGTACAGACAGCCTGATGAGAGAGATCAGCCCTTTATACCAGACCAGAGCACTACCAGTTCTCCCAGCATATAAATTCACTCCAGACAAGATACGAGCTCACAATCCTACTTCAGCCAAGTCTGCCAAAGAACAGTACAATGATTGAAGGGAGTATACCTGATCTGACAAAGTCTGGAGGGACAAACTTACCTCTTCAAAGGTTTTGGAAGAAATTTAAACTGACTTGGACTTCTTAAGAGCCTGCACCATACACCATGCTGCTCGCAGTCTGGTCTGAAGCAACTAAGATTTACCACCGCACCAAACCACAGCCTGTGCAGTTGTTTCAATGCTTTCCGCCTGGTATTCTCAACTGCTCACTTCACCTCCTCAAACAGAAAAGTTTTATAATTAAAAGAACATGCTATAGTTTCATGACCCCTTTCCACTGGAAAAAATCAGAGAACAGAAACTAGAGCTGAATTAGAGACCCATCAGTCTGTGCTTAAAGTGAAGCAAGGTGACATGAACACAGCTACACTCAGAAGGTCTCTCCCTCAAACCACTCCTGAAACCACATTCATCCACTGCCTAGTAACATTTTTCAGAAGTGAAGCAGTTTTTCATTTAACTAGCATTTTTTTAGCATGAAAAGAAATTGTTTGAGACAGAGACAGCAAACTTTATAAAAAGTGTTTAAGAAACACAAATCTGTGAGTGGACTAGAAAAATTTAAGAAGGGCTCTTACTACACGCAGCAGAGACCAGCTCCTGTGTACCCAGGACAATTTTGCTTTTCCAGTGACACTGCAGACAATCTATCAGATGTTTTACAAAGCATAAAGCTACCAGAAAGGCAAATGCTGTTATTAGTATTTATCGACGCCAAATAGTCAAATACTCCTGAGCAACAAAAAAAATCACAGGTCAATGTTTAGGCCTCCCATGGACCATTAAAGAGGGCTTACAAAAACATGAAAGAAGAATTTTTAATCAGAGCTTTGAGCTTGCTGTTGTTTTGTCACCACGTCCTGGGTATTTCAAGCCAGAACAAATCCGTGCTGTACTTCCAGCACTGCAGAGAAATGCATAAAAGTTAAAAATAGGCAATGAAAAGGTCTCCATTGTTGTTCTGTAAACCCAAAATAAGCTTTGGAGTTCAGCTAT